AAATAACTTGAAAATTTTGTCCCGGGTACTCTTTTTTTTAGCTTAGCAGAAACTAGAAAAATTTACTAAAATTATATATAAACTATTTTATATACTTTGATACAAACATTTCGTGAAAAAAAAATCACACTATTGTTACTATCTTTTATGTATTGAACTATATATCGATCCGGGACACTTTTTAACTTCCCGAAGTTTGTTTTCATCAAAAAATCCGATTTGCTAATTTTATGTTTTCTCGACGTTTCAAGCCATTCTGAATCAAATGAGACCAAATTTGGAAAAAGTATGTGTGTGTGTGTGTGTGTGTGTGTGTGAACACATTTTTTGCCGTAAATCGACGTTTTCTCAAAAACGGTTGGACCGATTTCAAATATTTAAAAGCCATTAGATGTATCTCGATGAGGACTAGCGTTTCTCAGTTTTGTGCGACGATCGGCCGAGCCGTTTCTTTGTAATTTGGAAAAAAGTGTTAAACCTTTCGTCCACATTTAAGATCATACTACCGAACTGATTTTAAAAAATCAAAAACTGTTCGAAAGATATTAGTTGGGAATGATACTTATTAGTTTTAGGTGAAAATCTACCGAGCCGTTTTCTTAATTAACTGTTGAAAAAAAAATTTTGGCCGATTTTTATGGAACTTTTTTTGGCGATGTATACCATGGTCTTATAGAACTTAATGAAATTTTAAAAATTCATCAAAGTTTGAGAAAGTGAGTAGTTTTTTTGACGTTTGTTAAAAATAAAATTAGATGATTTAGTTGGTATAACGATAGTGTACTTGTCTTGAACATAGTAAACCATTAAAGTCCTACGGAAACTGGTTCAATTATAATTATTGATTAATTAAAATTATTGATTTTTGAAAATTTGTTTTTAGAGAATACTCCTAGTTAACGTGTTTGTTCGTTCGTTTGCAATGATGTGTAATAAATCCACTCGGAATACTTATAATCACTCATGAGTTAATTTATTTTTTATTGATTAAGTCGATTATTTACGCATATCGGGAAGTTAAATACTCAAGGCTAAATACCAAACCAACTAGTTTGCATTTATTTTAATAACTTAGAAAATTTAACTCAAACACGCTTTTTAATTTAGTTTAGCATAAACTAGATAAAATTTACTAAAATTCTGTATCAACAATTTTATATGCTCCGATCCAAATTTTTTAGGAAAAAATTAAACTAATGTGTACTTGTCCTTACATGTATTGAACAATGTAAGGATCCGGGACATTTGTTAAAATGTCATTCCGTTTGTTAAAATTCCATGAAATATTTGTTCCGGGAACTCATTTTTATTTAGCTTAGCAGAAACTAGATAAAATTTACTAAAATTCTGTATATATTATTTTATATACTCCGATGCAAACTTCTGTGCAAATGACACTAATGAGTACTCGTCCTTATGTGTTAAACCATGTAAAGATTTGGGACACTTTTTTACGTTTTCTTTAAATAACTTAAAAATTTTGTTCTGGGCAGTCTTTTAAATTTAGCTTAGCAGAAACTAGATAAAATTTCCAAAAAATCTGCATACTCTATTTCACATTCACACACAATCTCCTTCCATCGTGCACGTCCGAAGGCATGACGCATGCCTCGTCCGTCGCCAACCGCAAATCGTCCGACAAACCGAGACAAAAGTCAGTCGCAAACGCGTGGGCCGCCTGGGTTCACTTCTTGTCGAAATTATCGGGAAAAAATTACGTAAAAATAGAAAAAATGGCAGAAAAAATAATTAAAAATTATAATTAATTACGTGAATATATATGTAATTAAAAATAATTAATTGGTACCGTGAAATGTTAGTGGTTTGATTGGTAAAAATTATTTTTCTTACGAAGACACCGAAAAAATGTTAAAGTGATGGACAAATGAAAAATTTGTTCGGGCACTCGTTGGGAGTTAATAATAATAAATTAATTATGGTAAAAAGATAATTAATAATTGTAATTAATTACTTAAATATATATGTAATTAGAAATAATTAATTGGTACCACAAAATGTTAGTGGTTGGAGTGGTAAAAATTGTTTTTGTTTGAAGAACACGAAAAAATGTTCAAGTGATGGACAAATGCAAAATTTGTTCGGGCACTCGTGGCGAGTTAATAATAATAAATTAATTATGGTAAAAAGATAATTAATAATTGTAATTAATTATTCAAATATATATGTAATTAGAAATAATTAATTGGTACCATAAAATATTAGTGGTTTGATTGGTAAAAATTGTTTTCCTTTAAAGACACCGAAAAAATGTTCAAGTGATGGACAAATGAAAAATTTGTTTGGGCACTCGTGGGGAGTTAATAATAATAAATTAATTATGGTAAAAAAATAATTAATAATTATAATTAATTACCTGAATACATGTGTAATTAGAAATAATTAATTGGTACCACAAACTGTTAGTGGTTTGATTGGTAAAAATTGTTTTTCTTATGAAAACACCGAAAAAATGTTCAAGTGATGGACAAATGAAAAATTTGTTCGGGCACTCGTTGGGAGTTAATAATAATAAATTAATTATGGTAAAAAATAATTAATAATTGTAATTAATTACTTAAATATATGTGTAATTAAATTTAATTAATTGGTGCCGTAAAATGTTAGTAGTTTGATTGGTAAAAATTGTTTTGATTGGTAAAATTTGAAGTGATCGAAAAACTTCGTTCGGCGAGCTCATAAACAGTAAAGAGTAAATAAATTATTAATAATAATTAATTATAATTAATTATGATGTGAATTAGTGTGTAATTATTAATTAGTGTGGTCCAAATTAAATTAACACTAAATTGCTGTTACTAATAATTGTTATTAATTATTTTGTGACTGGTTCAACAAAGTGCTTATCAAAACGTTTTTATTATCAAATGTATTGAAAAATTTTCTAAAGTACTTCTGAGATTAATAATAATAATTATTGGTATAATTATTGGTATAATTAATTAGTTTATATTAATGAATATATAATAATTATGTTATTAATTTATTTATAAAATTACCATATTTCCAAAAATGTGATTTTTGTCTAATGTTCCTGAACAATTTTTCATTTTTCAAGGACAAATCAGTGCACGATTTGTATCTTTATTATTATTTTTGTATTTTTATTATTTTTTCTAAGTATAAAATTACTCTAAAACGATTGATGAGTTTTTGTGTGGATCAAAATTGTATTTTGAGACTTGTTAATAAAATTGCATGTGGTATTTAGTGGTATTGAGTTAAATCAGTGGTAACTTTTAATTTTTTTCAATTTGAAAAGAGTTTAGAAGATATTTGGAATACAAAATTGTATTTTTTTTTGTTAGCATTAAAAATATCGTAAGTGGTATATAAGATTTCAAGTGGTATTTATGTATTTGTCACTTCGATAAAAATTTTGCACGTGGTATTTTGTGGTATAAAAATTATTTAGAGAATATTTACGTAATTTCAGAAAAAATTTGGGTTACAAAATCGTGATTTTTTGTTACCAATAAGAATATCGTAAGTGGTATATTATATTTCAAACGGTATTTATATATCACTCTAATAAAAATATCACATTTTTTGTTTAGTGGTATTTAGTGGTATACATTTTTCAGAAGATATTTACATAAATTGTTTTGTCGTTACAATTGTTCAGAACAAATTAGGGATACAAAAATGTAATTTTTTATTTTGTGGTATTTAGTGGTATAAATTGTTCAGAATACATTTACATAATTTGTTTCGTGGTAAAAATAATTCAGAACCGCGAATTTTGGGATACAATATCGTAATTTTTTCTTACCATTAAAAATATCTTATGTGGTATATTATATTTCAAGTGGTATTTTTTGTCATTTTACTAAAAATATCACATGTGGTATTTTCTGGTATAAATTGTTCACAAGACATTTACATGTACATTGTTCTACCATAAAAATTGTTCAGAAATCATAATTTTTTTACCATTAAAAATATTGTAAGTGGTATAATAAAAATTAAGTCGTATTTATATTTATTTAGTGGTATTTTACACAAGTGGTAATAAATATTTTGAATTATTAGTTTTTTGAAGATCAAAATTTTATTATGTGACTTGTTATTAAAATCGCACGTGGTATTTTGCGGTATAAATCGTCCAGTACACATAATTTTGCCTTACCATTAAGAATATCGTAAATGGTATTTTGTGGTATATTAGAAATTAAGTGGTGTTTAAATTTAGTCAGTGGTATTTTACACAAATGCTAACAATTATTTAAAATTGTATAGAAGTACACAATTGTGTTATTTTGTGGGTTTCAAAGACGTATTTTTTTTTTTTGTCACTCAAAACTTTATTCAAGTCAAAGACGTATGTGCCTTAATTGTAGATATAGAAAAACAAGTGGTATTTTATGGTATAAAAATTTCTGATCAATTTTTAATTTACCAAGGGCAAAATAAATTGCGTCAATTGTTGAAGAGAGATACTTAAGAAACTAATTTTTACTTTTGTCAATTTAGTAAAAATATTAAAAGTGGCATTTTCTGGTATACTACATTTCAAATGGTATTTATATATTTATTTAGTAGTACTTTATACAAGTGGTAATAAATATTTTAAATCATTAAAAATTCTACAGAAGTACACAACTGCTTTATTTTGTGGTTTTGCAAGACGTATATTTGCACTAATTGTGTGTACAGAAAAACAAATGGTATTTTATGGTATAAAAATATCTGAAGCAATTTTTAATTTACACAACGACAAAACAAATTGCATATAGAACGATACTTGAAATAAAAAATCACATTTTTTACTTATCTTGTTATTTGTTTTTGCAAAATAGTGAATTTTTTTAAATTCTTTTAGGTGGTACAAGTGCGGTATTTTGTGGTAAAATCAAACCTAAAGTGGTTCTTGCAGACAACAATTATTTTTTGACATTTGCAAAGATTAAGTTGACTTAAAAAAAGTACTTGTGCAAGTGGTATTTAGTGGTATTTCGAACATATACCAGTGGTATATCACCTCAAATTGTTTATATATAGTTCTACAACTTTCATGACTGGTATTTCAACTATTACCGAAGTGGTATTAAGTGGTATTTAGTGGTAAAAATTTAATATGATTCTCAATTACAAAATTTTTCGTGTCAAAGTGGTGAAAAAAGTGTTTTTGTGATCAAAAGGTTAATAAAGGATTATTGAGGATCATTTTTTCGAGATGTTGAAGATACACATGTTGGAACAAATCATCACAAATGATAACAGGGATAATGGTGAAGGAGGAGAAAGGTTAGTGAATTTTATTTAAAAAATTATATATATATATATATATATATATATATATATATATATATATAATTAATTGTTGAAGATATTTAAAATTGATCACCCATTATTATCTACACTATTTATCTTATGAATTATGTAGTTACAATCTGGTTATTGGGGTAAATAAAAAAGTACAAAAAATATATATTGAATACATTAAAGGGTGCTTTGTGTCAATTATATTCAAATATTTTTGTTACCAATATATAAGTGGTTTTCTTAAGATTTTTTTCTAAAGAAAGTTCTTCATTGTATTGCCTATTGGTTGCATAATACAACAAACAACCGAGACAATTCATTTTATCACAAAGCCTTTTGTAAACATATAATAAAAGTATACAAATTTAGAAACTTATATAATAACATGTATTTTGAATGCCTAATATTTATTTATTCACTTACAATTTTAAAATCCACTATAAGAAAATTTTGAAACGCAAAATGGAATAAAATACAACATAGTAATAATATGCAATTTTTTGATAATTTATTTTTTTAATCAGTAAGTTTTTGATATAAACAAGAAAATAGGTATTAGTAGGCCTCTAATGGTTTAATTACAAAAATTAATTAAATCTTGGATTAATACAAAAATGAGAAAATTTGTTCTAAATGAATAACCTATTATAATAATGGGTGCTCTTATAAATCACCTATAAATTAATATATTGATTTATATTAATTTTATTAAGGCAAAGGTTAATCTCAAAGTTAATTTAATATATATATATATATATATATATATATATATATATATAAATTTAATTAACAATTTTATTCTATCTATTTCTATCTCAATTTCCCAGCAAATTCAAATATTTACCATCCCTTATATGAAGTCGTAAAATTCTTATAGTTGGCCCAATATTTGGGTTTTCCTCGATATGGAGAGTGATATTTTCATCCCCGAGTTTTGTTATGGGATGAATTTATTGTTTTCAATCTACCTTGCGGTTTAATAAAGGAAATTTATTGTTTTTTTTGGGGGGAAAGAGATATATGTGGGGAAAGGACTTATTTTTGGAACAAAGTTTTCCAAATGAAAATATACCCTATATTTAATTCGTTACTAAAGATATTATTTAAGTGATAATTTAATTAACTTTATATAAATATATTTATTTACTTGTTTTGTATGGTGCGAATTATTTTTAATATTAATAAGTATATTTAATTCATTACACGTCGAAAATGTAAAAAAAAATATTTAAATATTATTATTTCAATCCTAAATAAATATTTTTGTTTGGCTCCAATGTTGCAAATTAATTTTTTACTAAATGTTATTTTAAAATAAAGTATGAAGTATCAATTTTATTTGTTAGTAGTTTAGTTTCCATTATCATTAAAAAATGTAAAATTCTTTTAGAGAAATATTATATTTTTATAAAATAAGCCAATAACGACATTTTGTAATATTTGGATTTAGAACATTTTTTAGTTTTTCTCAAAAAACTTTTAATTTTCATATAGTACATTATAATTTGTTTACATTAGTAAAAACTAGATAAAATTCACTAAAATCTAGTAAAAAAAAGAGTGCGCGTAAGGATCACACGCGATTGAAGTAAAACTATTAATATTGTATGAGTAGGCAATTAAGATAAAAATAAAAAAACATCATATTTGAATTTTAAAAATCATCTTTTAATAATCATATAACATCAATAATAATAAGATCTCCTGAGCATCGGCACAGCTGTCCTACTGATATTAAGAGTTTGAATATGATGTGAAGCTTTCTTCCTAATTTTGTTACCTATCTTACCGGGAAATTCAAACCATAAACGTAGAAGTTCATCATTATCGCCACGTTCTATGTACACTAATTTTCCCACACAACCATTAGCTAAGCCATCACTTACATCAATATTAGTTGTTATTATGTAAAATTTATTCAGAACTAAAATTATTTCATACGGCAAAGCCCCGGTATCAATAACCGATTTTTTTGAAACTGCTGACGAATGTATGATTGTTGATCTGTCGCATGGCAACCTACATAAATATCCGTGGCAGTAGATATTATTTTGTCTTCAACGAGATTCAATATAAATTTATTATATTCCATGGCACATTTATTCTCTAAGAAAAGTCTTATTCCATGAGGACATAACATAAAAAACGTGATTCAATTAATGCAAGTTCATATAGGGTTTAGCGCTCGACTTACGCATGACATGACGCGATATGAGTGGATACTCGCGACATCAGCGCTTACGGCGTCGTAGTGTTCAACTACACGTTGGCGTTTTCGTTGCATTTGTACGGATTTACACCCGTGTCGCGCCTAATAAAGTGTTTACACCCATGTCGCGCCTAAAGAAGTTTTACTTCAAAACTGTTGGGATATTGAAATTTTTACTAATTTGTATGCCAATTTTTTTTATTATAAAATATTATTTAAATTGCATATATATATTTTTTTTATTACAACTGCTAAATAATTTAACATCTAGTAACAATAATAAACAATAACATAAATTTAAATACAAAGAGCACAAAATAAAGGGTAGGATTGCATAAATTAGTATTAAATATTTTTTATCTGTTCTCTATTAATTTTTGTTAGTTGAGATTTTACTCCATATGTTATTATTTAAGATGTGAAATGCACTAAATTTATTTGTTAATAATTTTTAATTGCCATTATAAATAATTAATATAAATTTTGATTACTGTTTTTTTTATTTTCTTTAAATATGTTTAAACATAATGGACTTTCTTATATTATATTAAACAAATAAGATATATTTTTTTGTTTTATAATGCTGTTTTTTAAATAAAAAAAATCAAATATTTATAAATTATGAAATTGTCGTGAATAAATATTTTTGACCTAGAATTTAGAGGGATGAATAGAATTCAAATGTTTCAAAAAATTGCATTGAAAAGAATGTAATAAAAAATTGTAATTTATTTATTAAATAAATTTACTTAAACTTTGTAAAGAATCCGGAATCTTAATATGGTACAAAGATAAAAAATTTTAATTTCAAAATTAGCACAATATATTGCATATTGTTAAAATCATACATTTTGTAGTGCATTTGTCGTGTTTATTAGTTTAGAATTAAACCCTGACGTTTCGGGTTCTGATTTGTCTCATCTTCAGTTCTGGTAACTTTTTTTCTCCTGGTTTGTAACTCTTTTTTCTTCTGGTTTGTAACTCTTTTTTCTTCTGGTATGCAACTTCTTCTCTCCTGGTTTGCAACTTTTTTTCCCTGGTTTGCAACTTTTTCTCCTGGTTTGCAACTTCTGGTCAGTTTGCATACAAGAAGTATAAGTAAGGCGCGTTTGTGGCCTGCTTTGAGAAAATACTGCTCGCCCATTTAAGAACTAACTCTGTCTTTATTATTATTATTACTGATTATAGGTGAAAGCCGGGTTATCGGTAATACATTGATGACGATGAATCATCAACATAATAGATTTACATGAAAACATATTATTGGTAGCAGACGATTGGATAGGGTTGACTTGGATACGATTTATAGATGAACTTAGTCAATATCATTACACCACTAGTTACTTTGAGGCATAAGATAAATCTAATACTAGTCGTTACAACACTTTTTTTTAAAGTCCTATGAGCTCTTGTGCTCACTTCTCAAACGACGTGTTTTTTTTATAGAAGGACACAAATAGGTCCTTTATGTGATTACTACAATTTATGTAGTACTGGAAACATTACTGCTTGACATCAGGTAGTCCGAGGCTGTTATCAAAACTGGACCTCTCGTCATCTACTAATCCTCAGAAGTTCTTTAGGTTTTATTTCAACCTTTGTATTATAAACTAACTAAATAGATTTTCCACATATTCTTTTGCCACTAATTTTAGATCTCCGCCTTTTCTCTCCGCTTTTCTCTATCGTTCCAAAGAGTTTAGAGTTATTTTGTAATAATGGCAACATGCCAGTTGAAATCGTTCTTTAATAGGTCAACAGATTGCCATATTAGCTTTTTATTCTCTTTGGAAGTACTTGACTCAAGTGGTAAGGGTCACCACTCCTTTCTCATGGTACAACATGGTATGGTAGTTGTAAAGTTGAATGTTTATGAGATCTTGATATGGATTTATTTATAAACAATCATGGATAATAATGGATAAATGAATGCGAATAAATTGACGGCAATAGATTCAATTTACTTCGTTTTCTTCCTTGTATATAGTTGTCTTCATGATGCCTTTTTTGTTCTAAATTAATAAAAACTAGTTGAAAGTAGTATTTTGCCTTAAGGCAAGTTGCATGAACTTTCTGAAACGTGTACGAATTGACTTAACCAACCGAAATTGAGATTTAGATATTTAGATAATATTAGTTCACTCACGATTACATATCATCTACGTAGCCCTTGATATTATTTAATGATTTAAATTAATGGTAACATTTTTGACACAATTAGATTTTGTCGACTCACTTTTCTAAAAAAAATGGCAAAAATTTTTGTGGAATTCAAATTTTGCGACTCATCACATCACAAGAGCGACTTTTGACACAAATTTTGACAATGATATTTTTATAAATTTTGATGAATTTTTCAAAATAAACTACTTGTCGTAAGCCCTTCAAATTTTAGTAAGTTCTAGTAGCGCCATGATATCTATCAAAATAAAATGTTTAGAAGTTTACGAAGAAACGGCTCAGCCGATCTTTGTCCAAAACTAATCAGCACGACTTCCAAATAATATTTTTGAATAATAGTTTTTTAAATTTATAAAATCGATTCAGAATTTTCACTAAAACGCTGACAGAATTTTTTTCAAAAAGAAACGCTTTAGCCGATTGTGTCAAAAATTCAACCAACTTGAGTGTTTATAAAATTTCATTAAATTTTTTAAAACTTCTCAACAGTTTTTGAGAAAGAGTCGATGAAAGGTCTAATTTTATCAAACGTCAAAAAAAACGCTACACATTTTTTCAAACAAAGACATTTTTACAAATTTTGATGCATTTT